TTTTTTTTTTTTTTTTTTTTTTTTTTTTTTTTTTTTTTTTTGCGTATGTAGGTTTGATTTGATGTGCCCACCCCGTTTAGTCGCGCCATCAGGTTGGGAAGAAAAAAATGCTTCTACTCTTGGAAATTTTTAACAACCGAAAAAGGTACTTGGTCCGATCACAGGCAACGTTGATACTTATAAACAAAATGGGCGAAAAACTTACGCATGTACATCTTTTATGTAGAAATGTGGATTGGGTAAGAACATATGCCCAACGTTTTTTTTTTTTTTATATATATACTGACGTACCTGCATACATGCTACTTTTTTTTTTTTTGACTTTTGTGGGGGGTCCCCAATTGTTGTTCCAACTTGGTGAACCATACCATACCCATGATCGTATAACTCTTTTTAAGAATTATTGGACGAACAAACATAAACTCTCCGTTGTGTTTAATCCTTTGTGTTGTTTTTGTTTATTCATTTCTCCTTCCTGTTGTCCTCCATTGTGAATGTACCAAAAAAGAAAAAAAAGATAAACTTTCGCCTTTTAATGGTCCTTTCGAATTTTTAAGAAAAAAATGAAAAATAAGAAGATTAAAAATAAACAGCTAAAAAGGAACAATAATGACGCGACTGGAAAGAAGCAGAAATTTGTCAAGTTTAGAAGAATAAAAAAGATTAAATTTAAAGACGAAAGGAAAGTGTTCCTTCCGAAGGAAGAGAATGAAAGGAAAGTGAAGGTAAAAAAACAAAAGCGAGAGTTGTTATTTTATTTTTTTTTTTTGTGTGCCCTCGTGTTACATTACCACTTTGTGAAAAAATGATGAACCGCGTGTCACATGCGCGTCCTGTAAAATTGGCAAAGCGACACGTCTTTGCGCGGTGTTTTATTTGTATGTACATATAAGAGGTAGCAGAATGCACACCTGAACCCCTTCTTTCCACGTCTGTATAAAAGATGATCCACCCCCGTCTAACCCCGTGCCTTTTTCGCTCCTCCTTGCAGACCCCATGGAAGAAAAAACTGCGCACCTTTTACAAGAAACAGGAATTCAAAAAAAAACAGGACAACCAGACAAATGAATATCTAACCCTGGAGAAAGAGTTAACCGGTCAGACATTCAATGAGCAAAGACGATGCCTCTTTGCCATCCGAAATAATGTCGAGTGCGTGTCCTCCTCCCCCAATACGATCCTTCAGGTATAGCCAACCCCCCCCCCATACATGTGCGAGTGTATAATGTATGACCACATTTTTGTAAAAAAAAAAAAAAAATAATTTTGCAAATGCTCACTTGGCTCACTCTTGAGTAATAAAAAAAGTGTTATTCCCCCGAGTAGACTTCCACTCGGCAGTTCCAATCGATACACAGCCGATCCATGTGTGCGCACCAGTTAGCAATGCATTGGGGAAACTTCGTAACATCTTACGATCGATCTTTTTTTTTTTTTCCACCCCCCTTGTCGACTATTCAGGAACTCAAACTGACGGACAAGTACCACGGCGTGCTCCTTATCAACACGGAGGAAAATATGAAAAACCTATTCCTGGTGAAGCAGTACGTATGTTATGGGTACATACAAAAATACACCTTGTACAGCTTGATGGAAAAAAAATTATTTTTAAAAGATGAAAACGAGATAAAACGATGTGACTCCAATAAAATTATCGAGAAGCTTTTTAGCAAAGATGGTGTTTATTCCTTTCCTTCCTTTTGTGAATATTTATTTGAATGTAAAAATAATGCTGACCAAATGATGAAAGACCAGATTGTGCCTTTTGATTTCTCCTACTTAAGCAGCGACATGGCGTTCGATTTCCTGCAATTGAAAAATGAACTTGCGGGATTTGTCAAGGAAGGCATAAATGAAATTTTGGAGAAAATAATTTGACTTTTGCCATACGCGGTGGGGGTGTTAGTGCGAGAACAGTACGCTTCATCCGTACATTAACGCCTGCCCCCCCCTCATCACCATGTGTGTGTGTGTGCAAAATGCTTTTCTTTTGTAGGATGACTGAAATGTCACCTTTTTCACCATTTGACACTCCTTTTCTTTTTTTTTTTTTTAAAGTTAACTTTTTATTTATTTATTACTTATTTTTTTTTTTTAATTAAACCCACATAAAAAATGAAGTATGCCAATAATGAAACATGCCAATAATGAAACATGCCCATAATGAAACAGTACATTTGTGCTACAACAGAGGGGGAGCAAAAACGCACAATAACACGGTGTAGTCTTTTATGAGTGGAACAGCCCCCCGTTCCAGGGCCAAGGACGAATATGAAATGTGGCTTCTCACATAGTGAAAACAAGAGGTGCCGCTTTTAAGAAGTTTTGTCCTGAATAACCCATCGCGGACATACTTAGGTTTACCGTTCGAGCGAGTACCCAGGGTACGATGCGCGAGAGGAAGAATAAAAAAAAAAATTCTGCGCAACTTTTAACCGCGTTGAAAAAGAATTGTGTATGTCCTGTTTTGAAGCTATTGTAGGTATGGAAATTCCCATTCGAATGATTCGTGCCATGGTCCTATTTTGTCTACTGGCCTTACCACAGTTGCAGCTGCCACTGGCCACCTCTTTGCACCGCCACAGAGACTGCGCACCCACTCACTTCTTGGTAATGGTGTTATTGCGGTTGGCTCCGACTCCGATCCACACGATGGGCGAGCCCACATACTTTTCTATCGCCAAGACGTATTTTTGAGCATTTTTGGGTAATTGTTCAAACGTTTCGCACTTGGATATGTCTTCCTCCCACCCTTCGAATTGTTCATACACAGGTTCGTAGTTCTCCGGCGCGTCCTCATCCACGGGGTAGCACCCCTTTTGCAGTAGCTCGCCTGTTCAAACGGGTGAAAAAAAAACAACAAAAAAAAGAAGTTATACCAAAATGAAAGCCCTGCGCTTATAACTCTACAAAGTAAACTCTCATACGATACGGGCGACTCATACACAGCAGCACGCTGCACACCGCACACCGCCATAGAAACGCACCTGTGGCTTTGCTGCGATAACCGACGCAGAGGGAAATGTTCTTCAACCCAGACAGAACGTCCAGCTTAGTCAAATTTATAATGTCAATGGAGTTGATGCATTTAACGTAGAGTAACATTGGGATGTCCAGCCATCCACATCTTCTGGGCCTGTTAGTTGTGGTACCATACTCGTGACCCTTTTCCCGTAAATAGTCACCAATTTCGTTGTTGAGCTCTGTCATAAAGGGTCCACACCCAACCCTGGTCAAGTAACTCTTAACAACCCCTACAGTCAAATTTAACTTCTTATGATTTATCCCGAGGCCTGAAAAAATACCTCCAACAGTTGTGCAGCTGCTCGTTACGTAGGGGTAAGTACCAAAGTCTATGTCTAGCATGGCTGCATTAGCTCCCTCAATTAAAACATTCTTCTTTTCATTCAACTGATTATTCATGAAAGAAATTACATCTATGATCCTATCGTTTAATAACAAATGGTACTCGTAAAAAGACTTCAATTCTTCCTCCTTGTTGTAGTCCTTTATATCGTATAGGTCCATTAAATTATCAATCAGTTTTAAATACAAATTTTTAAAATGTTCAAAATTTTTTAATGAGCCAAGGCGTATACCTACCCTAGAAACCTTAGTCGAATAACATGGGCCAATTCCTCTCTTGGTGGTTCCAATCTGTTTGCCTTCTTTGAGTTTTTTATTTTCTTGTATCGAGTCGATGGTCTGATGAATATCAAATAGAATGTGTGCCTTGTCCGACAAGTATAATCTATTCATTATATTTCCTCCAATTGAATTTATTTCTTTTATTAAAGACTTTACATGGATCACCATTCCGTTCCCTAACACACAAATATTGTTTTCGTATAAAATTCCACAGGGCAACAAATGCAGAGCGTACTTTTTATCATTCACAGAAATTGTGTGCCCTGCGTTCGCCCCTCCGTTAAACCTGCATGTGATGTCTGAGTGCTTGGACAGGATGTCAATGATCTTCCCCTTCCCTTCGTCTCCCCACTGTGCACCCAGGATCGCCACCACGTTTCCGTGGCCCACATGTTGGATGTCGTGCTGGAAGATGTTCATCTTAGCGTTTTAAGCGGTAAGGCGGTTTCGACGTTACGCGGTTACGCGGTTACGCGGTTACGCGGTTACGCCGTTAGGCGATTATATGCTAACCGAGCTGTACCCCTGCTGGCGATACACCGCTGGGGTCGCAGATCACCTAAGGCTCCCACACGTACCCTAGAGACGTCGATTCAATTCGCCCCAGGGGGGAAAGCAATTCACAACGTCTCACTCGTAGAAAAAAAAAATTATCTTTTTTATAACAGCGCAAAATACTCAGGCGGGGGGGAGAAAAAGGATCTACGTGTTGGATAGTTTTGCTTCGTTGTACTATCAAGCTTAGTTGATCCTTGCACGGTGAGACCTTCAACACTTCAAAAAAAAAAAAAAAAAAAAAGGCACTCCTGCTGGTACCTAAATTGTACACTCACTGCGTGAAAAACTGGTGTTCAAGCGCGTTCGTTTATTTTTCCATTTGTGCCTATTCTGTGTGACACTATTCAAGCCGACATGTTTAAAATTAAAAAATATATATATATATATAAAATAAAATAATTGTCGCAATGTCGTTAGTGCGAATTTAAGTTTCCTATTCTATCACGTGAATCCATAGGATATATGCAGGAAAGCGGAGAAAAAAATAGGCAAATAATTTTTTTTTTTTTTTTTTTTTTTTTTTTTTTTTTTTTT